AGGAGTCACCTCTCTCATGGCAGGATGGTGGTCTCCACCCTGTCATAGCCCCACACTAATGCTGCAGGCAGCACTCCTCAGCATTGGGCTGGGGTTTTAGCCATCTCATTGCCTGTGACTGCACATAGTAACAGAGGGCTTCATAAGTTGAGCATCACTTGGTGGGTGATCTGTGCTCTGCGAGCAGTGTAGAGACCACTGTGCTAAACGCTGTTTCTAAGTGCTGCAGAAAGATAGGCCCAAGGCCAGGCAACTCATGCATGTTGTCAGACAAAGGCTGATGCCAGAAGAGTTTCGTTGCTCTCCCCTCCTCTCTGCACACATGCATGCACTTTTTTGGCTTTAATTGGGACTGCACATGATGTAACTGCCAGCAGAGCAAGGATCCAAACTAGCCCAGAAGCACTAGAGACGCTCCTTCCCATCTCAGTCATGCAAAGATCCTTCAGGGATCTTTATCCCTCCTCGGCAGAGCTAGCCTGACGCACTGCCTGGGACTTGGGAGCAAACATCAACATTGGGAGGGTCTGCAAGCAAGGGGTCAGTGAAGCACGGCGCCATGCATGCCTCTAGAGAGCTGCCCTGTGACCTGGAGAGGATGTGAGGGCCCGGGACATCGTGTTTGCAGAGTGATATTTTCAGACCTCAGCATTGCACAACTGAAGCTCTGAGTTTCCCATAGACAAGTCAATTTAATTCTGCTTAAGGAGCCTAAAGACATTAACCCATTAACTGGCCAACACAAACCAACTTTGCCATGAACCTTAAATCTGCTGATGACATTTTGCCTCCAGACACTTCCAGCTGAGGTACCTGTGCCAGTCTCCAGCTACCTCCTCTGCCAAGGTGCAAGGTGCTATAAAATACATTAGATTTAATAGCAGATGTGGTACCAGAGGGGCTGCTTCTCTGCCTGGCTTTCTTGGCTAGAGGTGCACAGCCAGCTTTGATAGCTCGGTAACGTGGCGATAGCTCTGGCCAAGCCTGCTGTGCATGAGGAGCGCCATGGTTTACACTGAGTCCTGCCTTTAAAGGACAAATTTCCCAGCTGCTGCCCTTCTTTCATCAGCTGACCTGGGATGAAACTCCTCTTCGAGGCTCTTGAATAAAAGTAAACAGAGCTGTGGTTCCCCTTGTCCCTCTCCAGCTCTCTCTGAGTCATGGAAACAGCGCCTGGGGTGGGAGAGGTTCCTCTGCAGCTGCACATCTCAGCCTGCCTAACGCTGGTGCAGGGGGGTGGGAAGGGAACAGACACTTGGGCATCTTTGCTGCTACCTCATGCACCAAGTGGGACTGGAGCTAACATTGCACAGGACATAAAGGAGTGATGGGAACAGGATCACAGTAAGGCAGAAGGGCCGGTGTTGCTCCCACAGCTCTGATTTGCAGGACCTCCAGCAATAGTTTTGGGGATTGCCAGGGGGACAAGGCTCTGTGCCTACAGCCATTGCATTTGCAGGCTTGGACAGGCTGGTGATGTCAATTTTCTCCACAAACTTACATCATGCAAGGTACAAAGTGAGCCTTTGTTGGAGTTTCTCCTCTGTGCAGTGCAGCCTCAGGGCTAAAGGCATCTCTGGAGGGTCCCGGGAGCAGCCCTGGAGCGAAGGTGTGAGCAGCTGTGCCCAGCACGCAAGGGGTCAGGCTGGGGAGCATCTCCAGCAGAGCCTCATCTGCTCATGCTCACTGTGCCAGGGGACTCGGGGTCTGAACGCAGGTCAAATGATTGTCCTAGCACAGAGACAAGTCCCAAGAGGAACAGTGCATTGATCCGCAGGCAAGGTGGGATGGCTGCCAACACACACAGACAGAGGGCTTCCAGGTGTCTCTAGCAAGAGGGACAGGGACTGGTCAGGTGTCTGCTCCTAAAACCCTACTTCTAAGCATCAAGGGGAGGATCTGTAGATGAGACACCTTGCTCCGTGCTCCTGCACCAGCAAGATTCTGAAGTGGGGCAGCCTGCCCAGGGAACACTCGCCACAAATTCATTTCTCCAGGAAGTGCCTAACTCCTCCTTGAAGCTTCAGCAACTGAATTTGTCCGAATACAGGCCAAGGGTTCACCTCACTACATTCAAAGGTCTGGATGCAGCAAGACTTTGCTGTGCCTAGAGGGCTAAAGGGGTGTTGTGGTGGGTAGTGCTCCCAGGGACAGTTAAGGCTGGCACACTCTTCCACTTGGCTATGAGCTAGATAACAGCCATCCATTAAGACCCTCACTGCCTGGCCTGCGGGGGCCCTGGGCAGTAAAACACGAGTCTTCCTAGAAACTGGTGTCTGTTTTCTGACTGGTCACCTGAATCCTTCAGATGAAGGATGGATTTGGCGTGGCTCCAATCACCATTTTGAAGAGGCTTCAACACTGCCTGAGTGCGGAGCCCCACCTCACCACAGACACCTGGCACATTTGTGGTGGGTGCTGGTGCTTGGGCAGGCTAAGGAGCAGGCAGCAGGGGATGCTGGGATAAGGTTGAAGAGTGGAGAGGAAGTCGATGGGAATGATCAGGTCCAATACTTCCACTTCTTTGCTGCGCCAGGCCCTACACTCTCGCATCTCCCCGAAACATGTCCTTTAAATATGCACTTTTAGAGCAGCCCAGAATGGATGCTGAAATGTAAAGCAAACCTTCTCCCTTGGCTTACTGGAGAGCAACAAGGGCATAGACCTGTGTCAGACTGAGCAGCAATTGGCTCAAGGACAATGCCCGCCTCTCCAGAAGATGCCCGTCAAAAGCCCTGATTTAGCGTGCCAAGGAGAAGGGGTCAGTTTGCATACATGAAACTCTTGTTGTGTGTCCATGATGCGGAAAGAGGAGCTGCGTTTGTGCAGAAAGCAGCAACCCCTTGAATACAGCCTCCATTTCCCTCTCCTCTCACTATTGCTCTCCCCGCTGCCTTTGCAGAGCTCTGCTTGCAGAACTGTGTCTGCCACCTCAGCCGTGCATTCACCAAACCTCTTCAACTCTGTGGATGCTGCTGGCCAGGTCTCAGCAGGGCAGGCAGAGAAGGACTCCACACAAAGGTGTGCTAGGGACTGCTCTGCATCAGCCACTCCTCCTGGTCTCACTATTTTTCTTCCCTGTTTTTGCCTTTTTTCTTTCTTTTTTTTCCTTTTTTTCCCCTAGGGAGATGTTTGTAATTTTAATTTAAAAAAGCAAAGAAACAAAACCCCAGCCATGACAAAACCTGACATCAATAAGATGCTCGTGGGGACGGTTAAAAGAGAAAAACCATGCTCCTTCTGCAAACTCAGAGTAATTGGATCACAGGATTAATTAATCATTTCAGTTCATTTCTCTTCTATGAAAGAAAACAGACTGACCCACTGAGACAGGTATGCCCCCATGTGAATAAACAAACCACTTTTACTGGTAGCCCTCCCCCTCCTTCTCCAGCCAGCTTTCCTCTGTGCCCACTCACCGAGTTACTCCTGGGGCTGCCGCTGCTCTGTCCAGCAGATCTGGAAACTTGCTGCTGGCTCTGAGCAAGAGCACATTGGCTTGGGTCCCAAAGGAATTGGGGGCTACTGCACACACCTGCTCCCATCCCCACCTTCCCCATCCAGGGCTCTGACCACTGGCTACAAATCCAGCTGAAGAGTGAACCAGGAATAGGTCACTGATTCTTAGGATCTCCACTGGATGCTCTGCTCTTTGGTGGGATGCCCATGGGGGCCTAGTCCAGGCTGGAGCAGCAGCAGGTGCTCAGATCACAGAAGTCAGGGTGTTAGGAAACAGGAGGTGATGCCCAGCAGTAGTGACAGCAAAAAGCATCTTGCTGTCACCTGTGATTTCAACGTGAGCATTGTCACTGGTGATGTTTTACCAAAAGCCTGGCTCTAAGACTCTGGTATCTGAGTATTTTGATAGGTACTGTCAGCATCAACAAGCCACCCAACTGCATTGGTACTAACCCTTCCAACCCCTCTGCTCATTCTACAAGTTGTGGTAGGAGAAGCCAGGCCACTCTTGGAGGTCACTCGAGGCACTTGTGACAAAACATGGAGCCTCCAAATGCCCAGTTGGTGCCAACTGCCACAGGGCACAAGGGAACTCTGCTCCTCCTTCCCATAGAAGTATCTATGGCAAGAACTGCTTTCTGATTTGAAGCCAATGTCATAATTTTGGGAAGAAAGAAGGGTGTGGCTGCCTGACCCATGTCCATGATGGGTCAACGGAGAACAGAGTACAGCTCTGTCATTACCAGCAGGGAGGGTGCAGCAGGGCCAGAAAGGGCTAAAGGGAAGATAGGATCCACACCAGGTGAGAGAAGGGGCAAGATCTGCCTCGTTTGCAATGCCCAACCTGGCAAAGGGCTCTGTGGAGAGAGGGAAAACTTCTGCCTAGTCATGTCCTGGGAGGTGGCCACCACAGCTAGAGAGGTTTGTCCAGCATGGGGACAAAGTATCCAAAACATATGGGATTGTGTCCCTACTGCTCTTGTTGGAATAGTGAAGGAAGCAAAGAAAGCGTGCAGGTAGTTTCTCACCCAGAATATCTCCTTCCCGGAGAAGGCACCAGGGGGGCAAATAACCCCCGTCCTGGGTTTCCTGCTGGGGGGGTGACTGCCCCGGGGGTTGCAGGCTGCTCATATACTCGACTCAGGTTGCCGACAGGGCCGTTTCCTCGGTGACAGGAGGGATCCGAGGTTCCGACGATGATGGATATCGGGAACGGTGTTGGTTTGGATGGGAGCAGGGAAGGGGGTGCCAGACATAGCCCCGGTGCCCTGTCAGGACCGCACAGCTCTACACATCCCGGGGCAGTGAACCAATGCGGGGGTTCCGACCCGCGGGGCAGCCCGGGGTTCCCGGAGGGACGCGGAGGGGTGGGAAAGTTGGCAGAGAGACATGGCACCTGGGGCGACCAGGTGCCATATCCCCCGGGATGCGTACCTCCCTCCCCATGCACCCTAAAGCCATGCTGACGCCCCCGGCAGGGACTATCCGGGGGATGCCCTGCGCCCGCCCCGCGCACACGGAGCCCCCGAGCAGCGACTCACCGGGCAGCCCAGCCCAGGGCGCGCCGCCGCCCGCCGCCGAGCGGTTCTCAGCGGCCATGGTGCCGCGCCGAGCACGCTGCCGCGCCGCCGGGGGCTCCGGCTGGCATGGCCCGGCCAGCTCCCGGCTCCCTGCTCCCGGCTCCCGGTCCCGGCGGCGCCGCGCGCGGCGGAGGGGCGGGGAGAGGGGAGGGCCCGGCGCTGCCGGCTCGGCCCTGTCCCCCTCCCCCCGCCCCCGCCCTCCCCCGCTCCCAGATGTGTCGCCCCCAAATGTGTCGCCCCCAGATGTGCGCCCCCTTCGCCGACTCGCAGACCCACTGGGGCGGGGGAGGGGCGGGGGAGGGGCACCGCGACGTCAAGATCCGCGGTCAGTCCCCACGGCGCCGTTCCCCCCGTCCCAGATGGGGTCTCCCGTCCCCGCCGGCCAGATGTTGTGCGGGAGCGCTCCTGCAGCACCGCGGACAGCGCTCCTCGGACCGCCTGCTCCCGGCGCCGGGCTCTGGTCCCTACTGCTCCCCGGCGCACACCAGCGGGGACGAGCCCCGCTCAGCTGCAGTCGGCAGCGCCGGGAGAACCGGCGTCCAACGGCGGGAGAGAGCGAGTGGCCAGGAGGAACGGAGAGGCGCCCGGCGCAGCCCGGCCAAAGGGAGTCCTGAGGAGCTGCCCGGTACCAAAAATACAGCCCCAGCACACACGTCTGTGAACTCGAGAGGCTCGGCGAACTTTGCCGGGCTGTCACTAATGCTCGGTATTGGGGTGTTCACTCAGACCAAAAACCTCATCAGGCGGTCCCACAAACTGTCTCACAGGTTCGGCTTTCTACTTTCCTCGTAGTAATGAGAAAGTGTCAAGGAAGAAACAAAGGAAAAAGAACAAAATCTGTCTTCCCTTCCCTGTACACCTTTCCCCTTCCCTCTACACCTTTCCCCTTCCCTCTGCTTATACCTAGAGCAACTCTCTCACCCACCCTCTGCCTCTCACTTGTACTGTCTCACAGATACACACGGGTATCACTTCCCCATCTGCTCCGCTCTCACACATACATGCGTAAATACACATAAACAAATAAACGCCCCACTTTATCCCTCCTTTGAAGCAATTACAGTCTCAGATGACTTCCTACCATTCACTCCTTCAACTCCTCACCCTCTTCTCTTCCCTCTCTTGCTCTGGGAGGTAGCACTTAACTAAAGTGCGGTGTTTGATGTCAATTTCTCATTTAAAGTGTTAGCCAGATGTTCCCAGTTCGCAGACTGGATCTCTCTCTTCCCTACATCCTGCAGACTGGTATCTTCTCCCTCAAGATGAAGACACATTTCTGAATTCCAGCAGAGAGAACATTGTTAAGATAATTCAGACAATTTTCTCTGATGACATATCTCCAACTCCAGGTGCTTCTCTGCATCCTTGAAAATATTAAAGCCTTTTGGCCCTTGGATCTGCTGCTGCCTTTGCACACCAAGAGGCCCCTGCCAGAGCAGTGAGGCAGATACACCACCCTTACTTTGGCCACCCGAGGCCGCATTCTGGCATTTCTTTAGTGAATTCAGTCAGCTGGTATTAATTTTCTTTCCTGCCTTCTTTGAAGAGCAAGAAGACAAAGCTTTCCCCGTGTCAGCTGGTGTGGAACCATGCAATTGTACTGAGTGCAATGAGGCTTTGCTGACTTTTTCAGCTTAACATCTGCCCACACTTTTTTTGCAGTCACTGACCAAAACCTGTCAAAGACTCCAGCCAGTTAATTTGAGTCTCTTGCCTTGCCCCAAAGCCCTGACCTCAAATAAATACCACCCTCTCCTCCTTCTTTCCCCCTAAAAAAAGTTAATGTGAATAAACCTTTGTCTGGGTGAACTTATGAGACTGAGGAAATATCTGCTTCTAAGACAATTTGATTGCACTGGAGTTGCATTATTTGATTGGACTCTTGTTTCAAACTACAACTCCCCATAGATAGACAAAAGACTGTAAAAAAGAGTGAGAAGTCTTCTTCCCAAGCTGATCAGTCACAGAGATAAAAATGTATAACCAAATTGGATACAGAACTTTTCAACTTCTAACTCTTAGCCCAACTTTATTCACTCATTAGGCAAAAGTAGAGTTTCTGAAAGCCCAAACTTCCCATACATATTCCAATTAAAGACAGCACTTGCTTCTCTTGGTTTGACATATTCACACATTCCCTGCCTATGGGCTGCCAGCAAGTTTCAGCAACCCCTCTTGTTGTCACCGAAGTGACATCATCTTCCTTCTTAGGCCATGTTGGCACTGGTCACTAAAACCAGTAAATCCACTTCAGAATCTGACCCCAGCTCCAAATACATTGTGACAGGCTGTGAGGTGGGTTTCTCCATGTAAGAAGCCAAAGGCTTACATGACTTCATGTTCAATGGCCCAAGCAAATTAAGGGCCTCCCTTACTCTCTTTTGGGATTAAGACCTGTGACAGTCTGAGACTCCTGCCATCCTTCCTGACTGACACAGTTTGGTCTGGGGGAGTACAACCCGGCACCCATCATCTTGTAGAGACCTGGGATACTCCTGGAGCTGGCCATTTTTCATGTAACTGCACATCTCTCAATTTTTTTTCACCACTGTATTTCCAGCCTCTATTTTTGAATGGCTTCTTTGTCTTTTTTTTTTTTTAGACATGTTGTGCTGTGCCTGATGTCTAATCAGCAATTGTTACTTTTCCATTATCAGTTGGCAATGCTTCATCATGCTCCCCCATATTAAAAATTGCCCTTGCACCAAAACACATCAAACACTTAGAAACAGACAAAGCCACTCCTCTCACCTCTATATCTGAAGTGGGAGATGGAGAGGCCACTGGCAAGTGACCATATTAATGCTCCACCTTGGCTTGCAACAGTTCCCATCCATAGCCATCCTGAGGCAGTGGTTACTCCACTGAGCTGGTGCTCAGGAGATGGATATGTTTGAAGAGCAGGAAAGGCAGTCATGGATCTTTTACTCTGGCTTCCCTCACAAGCCCAGGAACATCCACCCATTATCCCTGATGGATTCCCAGTAGCTGTACTCACACATGCAGCAGCCTCAGCAGTAGCCAGCACTGGCTCCGGGCACACCAGCCAATGCCAGGCTGTGGCTGCTGGGGGACTTAAGTGATTTGCCCCTGGTCCTGCAGCCCAATGCTCATGGCAGGGATTCTGCAGGTAAAGAAGCAGTTATCATCCATCCCTGCAGCAGATGGGGCATGTACTTTTTCATACACATGCCTATGGCACTGGATGCTGCCGGTGACAAGCCTGCTCACCATCAGTTTTGGCCAGGCTACCCCCTCCCTCCACCAGTCCTCCCCTAGCCTTACAGTCCCTGCCAGTCTCCAGCAAAAACATCCAGCCCAAGTCTGTCTTCCCATCCTGCTCGGAGAGGTGCACTCCTGTATATGCTTGCTTGCTCCCTCTCCTTTCTTTCTCTCCTTCTTCAGGGCACTGAGGTTTTCCTTCTACCTCACACACCCTTTCATGCTCCACTTCCCTCCCTTTGCCTTCAGGTGGATCCAGATTGCCTCTCCCAGCACAATGCAGGCAGCCAGTCCTCCTCCCTCCGACAGACTTATTCCCACAAACTTGCTGAACCCATCTGCATGGCTTTAATATTCATAAAAGTCAACCCTAGTCTAAAGAAAATGTGGTTGATGAAAGTATTTACATTGCAAATCACTTTTAATAGTCCTCTGATAGTCAGCCTGGTGATAAACGCTAATCTATCTATCAGCTCAAAAACAAAATAAACCCAACTCAGAGGAGGAGAGTCAGAGAGAGAAAAAGCAGCCGATGACAGTGAGAAAGGCTCAGCCCTTTGGAGCACCACTCTGCTGAGGGAAATGGGTGTGAAGGCTTCACTGAGCCGCTGGTGATGATACTGAAGTGTCACAGAGGCCAGGAGCAGCCACTCTGCCTGCTCTTGGCCAAGCAAGGAGACACAGGGTAGAGGATGAGCCCCTGGGCATGCAGTCTCTTCTCTCACTGGCATGGAGCTGGCATTGCCTGGCTGGACAGAGCTGTTTAAATGCCAGGGCAGTAACTCAGCCTCCCTGCCTGTGGTCAGGGCTGCAGGCGACTGGGCAATGCCACCTGGGGGTGGGCTCTTGCCCTGTGTGCACTGGTGGGTGAAACACAGCCCAAGGGGGACACGGATCATTGCCCTGGGCCAGCATCATCCCTGTGGGAGATGGGAGAGAGGACAGCACCTGGTGGTCATGTGCCTCTCTCCTAATAGTTTGCCTAAGGGCACAGGAGGGCATGTTTGTAAAGGGGCTTGGGACAGCCCAAAAAGTCTGAAATAAATATTGTCCCCAGGCCACGTTTGCCTGGAGCCTCCCACAGCTATTCTCCCAGCTGAGGAGGCACAGGATGTCGTGTGCACAAGTCCTCTTCCCCATCAAGCACTATCCTCAGGGAAACAGCCTCATTCCAGCTGTCTCCAGGGCAGCATAAGGCGCATATGGCCCTACAAGTGTCCTGGATGTGAGCTCTGCAGGAGGGCAGTCACTCGTGGGTTCGAGGTGAGACAGATCCCAAACCAGCCTGGGACAAAACCTCACTGCAGGGAGCAATCAATACTGTGGGGGAGCAGGGCAGGAGGATTTGCAGGCTCAAGGAGGAGCAGGGCTGCTGCAGTCTTCCTGAGAGATGAGGTGACTGAAGGCACCCAGCCATGCTCTGCTGCCTCAGCCAGGCCCCCAGGAGTCATCCACAGCCACATCTTCCTGTGCTTCATGTCATGCCTTAACTGGAGACAGAGGAACAAAATACCAATGCTGAACTCGCATTAGGCACATCACTTAGTGCTCAGCTGTTTCCCAGTCTCCCGGGCTGCTTGCAGAGTCAGGGTAATGAACAATTCTTTCATTATTTGGAAAATGTCATTTTTAGCACCAGTGAAGGATGCCAGAGCTACAGCCCCAGGGAGTGGGTGACTATGTTTAGCCATGCAGCAGGTGTGGCCCCAGCGGCTGGGGTGACAGTGGCACAAGCAGCTCCTACTCGCCCTGGGGTCCCTGGCAGGGCACATCCAGGAAAGCAGGGTATAGCCACTTTGGGCCATGCAGGGAAGCCAGATAAGCATGAAAAATAGTTGTAACTAATATAGAAAGACATTCTCC